GCTCCTCGGCCGGGCAGCACGGCACCCCAGTCCTCAGTGGCTTATCCAGCCCCAACACCTATGTCTGCTCTGCCTTTCACAGTGGCTAAAACATGGGCTAGATTTTTTTTTTTAAATATAAAATACGTATTTGATTTTACCTGCAATGCCAAGACTTACACAAGGGCAGCAGCTGTGGCAGGATGGAGAGCCCGAGCACTTCCAGCCATCACACATGCAAGGCATGGGCTTTAGCACAAGAATTTCCCCATTCGTGTAGATTCACCCAGACAGAAGGACCAAGAGCAGAAGCATATTAATCAGTTCTAACTAAGATGGAACATATAACCTTTATGATTCCATGATCTTCATGACAATATTCTGTGGATTCAGCACAGCCCTTTCTGAACTGAAGAACCACTGGAATCTCTTTAAAAAACAATATAACAGAGTCAATTTAAAACCAAAAGTAGTTTCAAGTCCAAGGCTTGCTCTCAAGCCCTCCCATGCTATTTTTTTTTTGCAATTTTCAAGTATCATTTGCCTGCTTCTCCTCTGCTCCTGTGGCACGTGCAGGAACGGCTCAAGCAGCCTATAAAGGTGATGAATTCACTACAGGTAGGATAAGCATCAAGTCGTATCAAACCACACAGCAAGGAAACAGAAAAGCAAAGACAAACGAATGCTTTTCCTGATCTCTACAAAACACGGATTTCGGGTGTTGCTTGCAACACAGAAGGAGAGACAGGCATGCGTGGGTGCTGCTGCATCCCAGTGTCACACTGGTCACTGCATGCTGGACCGGCTGCATCCCGAGCGCGCCGAGGGAAGCTGTCACGGCACGGCACCACGTGGGGAGTGCACCAAGACCCACCAGTGCTCCGAAACAACCGTCACCCAAACCCAGAGCTCCTCCTTGGTGCTGAAGGGACCAAGGGCACGTCTCCTCGAGGTGGATGCTGAAATTCAGGATCCCACCTACTGCAAACCAAGCACCCCCTAACGCTGCAGCCCAAAGCTTCTCCTGAGAGTACTTCACACCCAAATCCATAGCCCTGCACTCAGAAAGCCTCAGAGGTGCAGACCAGGCACCCCTGAAGTGGAAATCCAGCAGGATCCATCCACAGCCCGTGTATCCATGCCTCCATCCACAGCCAGGAACGGGATTTCTGCTGCTGCAGCCGCAGGAGCCGGGTCGGCTCCTGGTGCAGATGGCTGCAGTGCCAAGGGGGAGCGACTCAAAATAGCTACAACCCCAAGCTTTTGGAATAATCCTGGCACAGCAGCAGGCTGCTGCCTCTTCACAGCACAGTTTTTAACCTTATTTTCTAAAAGGCAGACAGGGCAGTTCTAGGAGGGGCTGAGAAAGATGCCAGATTTGCAGTAACCTTGCTCCATAATAAAATAATAAAAATGTTGTTGTGTGTGGCTCCAGCAACGTGACGTGTGTTCTCATCGTTTTGGGATGACAGAACGCATTTATTTCAGGACCGCAGACTATGACGTGCTTCATCAGAGGACAGAGTAGGAGAATAACTGAGTCGGGGTGACAGTGGGGTGTCAGCGCTGGCTGCATGGGGCCACGGGCAGCTGCCCCAGTGTTGAATGCAGAGGGTAGTCCCCTCCAGCGGAGCAACATCCCATGTCCTCATCTCCTTTGAAGACCTCTTTGTGATGACCCACCTGGGAATTTTATTATTTTACTGGATGAACTGGAAACTATTATGTTTGCACTGATCAGCAAGTACAAAACAAAGGGAGGGCTTCAAAGGTTTTTAAGATGTTCTGGAAACTATTTACCATGAGATCTCTCCTTAAAAGGGCTGCTGCACCCTCCTTAGCATGGAATTTCTGCCAATTAATTCCGTAATTAACATAGACAATGGGCGAAGGGAGAGAGGGTCCCCTGGTAGCTCCATGCAGATGCCTCCAAGCACTTTGGGGCACCAGGCAGAGCCCCCAGACCCCCAGAAGAGGTAACCTGACTATCCTGTACAACATGGGCAGGCTAAGGAGCACCCCACTTTGCTGTCTCGTCACCCGAGTTAAGAGATTCAAGCAAGTCTCCATATCCTCATACAACAGGCATTTCTGTTGTCTTCTCCGCTGGGTTTATCCCAAATTTTAATGCTTGACTTTGCTATCTCCCTGCTCTCCCATCCCTCCTGCCCAGTACGAGCTGAGGGTGCTCAAGGGAGGACAGCATCTCACTTTTACACCCCCTTCCTCCCCAAACTTGGTGCAGTTCACATCTGGACTCTCACTTGGAGCCAAAGATATTTATTAGGGCATAAGAGTGGGGATGGACGGATAGATGGGCAGCTACACCCACTCAGGCAGCCTCTGAAGAAATGCAGGCAGGGACTGGACCATGGGGGGAAGGCAGCGAGGTGTGGGGCAGGCAGGACGCCGGGCATTGCAGAGCGCTCCGATGGTGAAGGCGAGATGCTTGCATTCAATAAGGAGGTGGTTTATGAAAATGGAAATGCTCAGCTTTGACTCTTTTACATAAAAATAAGGAGCTCATGGAGGCTGGAGCTGGCCCTTATCTTCATCTCCAGCACTCCTCAGCTCACATTTTGGGCGCTGAGTCGCACAGCAAAGCGTTCAGACCACAAACAGCGGCGACCGGGGAAAAAGGGATTAATGTGGAGAAGTTCTAGAGGGATAATCATCAGGATTAGTGACTCCCAGGGATAAAGAGAGTAGGAAGAAGGAAGAGAAAGGAGCCTGCACAGCTGGATGACGAGAGCATCGAGGAAGCGACAGGGTGACAGAGAGAGGGGGCACACAGAATCATCTCCCAAGGGTCCTCTCCTGCTAGACCTGACATTCTGTGCCCTGAAGAGGTGTTTGCAAGTATGTAAGCACCCAGGGAGCTTAGAAGTGTGTTTACCTGAGGCAGGGCTAAAGTTAAAGCTGTCAAGTCTAAGCAGCCCGTGAAGGTGCAGACCCAGGTCTGGACGTGACCTTGGCAGCTTGAAGTTCATCTCATTTGCTCCTGGGAAGTTTCAAACAAACAGATATCCCCATGCTGCTCTTACCACATGGAGAAAGGGATTTGAGCAGCACACACCACCCAAATGGTGGGAGAAACACAGGCGAAGCTGCTCTGCTTCAAAGATGGTGAAGGCCAGCACCCCGCTGTGGTCCAGGGCATCTCTCAGAGTTGGAGAGCTCTCCCTTTCCCACCAAATTCTCTTAATTAAACGGTTGCCTGCTGCAAGCCATGTAAACAAAACACATTGCCAAGTAAGGGCTATTATTTAGACAGTATATGTATTTCTAAACTGTGTTTAAAATTCGGCTCACACACCACTGTAGTTATTATTTTCCATTTTAACACTTAGCAGGATGGTTTGGGATTTGAGAAACATCGGGTCAGAAGAGCTGTAACCTTTTAGGTGGATGACAACACACAACCTGGAATTTTTCATGTTAGCAGATCCCAGCCATCAGTCTAAGCATATTCCAGATACAAAACATCATGAGGGGAAAAAAAATAAATCCAAGTGCTTAAGACAACCCTGCCTCAGTGCACAGGTTTGCAAGAAAACGTTATGCTAGAGGTGTAGCTCTGCACTGCCTTCGAGGTTTGGAGCTACTGGGTCTTTAGAGCAATTAATTACTCAGGGAGCAGGATTTCTTCTGCTTTTGGGGCAGCTCTGCATTAGCACCTGCTGGCAGCACCAAAATTCAGGGCATAAGGATCCCTGTTCTGCTCAATGCCGGTCAGCAGCAGGATGGAGGCTCAACAGCTTCGGACACGGTGATGCTCCAGTCCCCTGATGCTTTCTGTGAGAGCAGAGCGCTTATAAATCCGTATGAGTCCTTGAGGAAAGCGGAGGTTGAAAGAGAAATACAGAGAGGAATTGATTTTTCTGAGCCAGCTGAGAAGAGCTGGAAATCAAAGGTGGGACTGACCCAAGCCCCATCTCAGCCCTCCTATCATACCTCTCTGCCTTTGCAGTGTCTGTCACCCGGCTTCGGCAAACACAGCTCCCCAGCACCAGGATTTACAAATAACTGACATTATTTGTGGTGCTGGATGCTCACCGCAGCACTGCTATTTTCAGCTCTGCTCTGGAGTGGTACCCGGGTCTCTGCACAGTGGGGCTCTGCTGGTTTTTTGCACTGATGCTCCAGCCTCCCAGCCCTGGGAAGAATCGGAGGATGCTCGTGCAAGGGCATCTTGCAAAGTTACATCCCACCACAAAGCCGCAGCCCTCGACAGCTCTTTCCCACTGCACTGCCTGTTATTAAGACGATGGAGAATTGCTTAGAAATAACAGTAATTCTGCAGCAAACATAGATAGACAACTCCTACCCTGATCCTGCAGTCTCTGACAAGATGATGCTCCTTAAAATCAGTGACTTTCTGCATTCATGTACCACTACCTTGTTTGCAGGGGTTTTCTCTGGGAGTTACCCTTGGGAAAAGCCTCTGAATGCACCTGACTTTCAAAAAAAACCCACACTGAAAAAGCCAGGAGTCTCCTCCTGAGCTGGGTAATAACCAACTGGTGAGGAAGGCAGCGCGGGACGGGGAGGCAGCAGTAACAAGGACCCCGCGCTCACTCCCGGATGTCCCTTGCAACCTTCTTCCTTTCCCTCAGGCTTTCTTTCTCCCCAAACCCCAGACTAGAAACCAGAACAGATCAGGGCTCAGCTTCAGGATCACGACATCATCTTTTCAACATCCTCTTCCCTCTCCCCTTCCCTGCCTCCCTGAGCAAAGCAACGGCACCCAAATCAGAGCTGTGCTGGGCAGAAACCCACGGGTAAATCAAAGCACATTTAAAACTTGGCACAGGCGCGACAGCGGGTCCATGGGGGACACTGAACTCGTCCACACAAACGTCCAGCTCAAGAAAACAGATTTTATCTTATCTTACAACACCAAATAGTAACTTTAACCAGAAACCAGCTGCAGACTGCATCACGTCTACTGGTGCAGACCACACAGTACTTTGGTTTCGCTCGGGACCACGTGGGTCTGTGAGCTGATGAAGCCTCCACTGCACCCCTCCACTGCTCCAAACCTCCAGCCTGGATGGCAACCTGCGTTAAACATCTGCAACTCCCTCCAAACTCCATTAGCATCAGGACTGCGTGTTACAGAGACTTCTCACCCATTTTCCTCACCTCCCTCCCACACTGCCTGCCCGCTGTAACCACAGCCACTTGCTCCCACGTTAGCTGCTCCACCAGCAACGCCACCGTGAGCTGCTTCCAGCTCCAACCTCCCTTTCTCGAGGGCAAGAGAATGCCTGGAGGTGGCCATGGGATGCCAGGTCCCTCTCCATCCCCCTGTCCCAAGACAGACCAACACATCCAGGGCTACCCCATTGGCAGGGTTTTGCTGCAGGAGACTGCCGCACCGAATTAAGTGTACTAGAAGGAAAATGCAGGTCTTTTAATAGCTGCATTTTCGCTTGAGTACGGAACTGTTTTCAGTATCTTCAATTACTTTGTCAGGGTTTGGCAGCTGCTGGGGAATGCAATTCTTCACGGAGGAGCCCACAGCCCACTGCACACTAATGGCTTGTTAGAAAGTGTCAGTTCTGGGGAGTTTCAGCCCTCCTTGGGCTGACAGAGAGAAGTTGGTGATAGCAGCAGGAGAGGAAAACAGTCAGTCCCAAAGATCCCCCCAAGGAGGGGACGGATTTCAGATACTCAAGGGCAGGTATTTTGCTTCATTCCTCCTTTCCCTCCTTCTCCATCCCAGACTGACTGCCGCAAGAAGGCGTGCGTGGACCAACGGATGGGATTGCAGGGGATGCCCAGTCTGGAGGGCCTGGAGGGCTCTGGGCATCCCCTGCCCCGAGCAGGGCCGCGGTGGGGCACGGCAGGCTGCCCTGGGCTGCACTCGGCCATTCGCAATTATTATTACATTATAATACAGCATGGAAGTACCAAAGAGCAAAAACTTTTATACATTATTTGTATCTTGACCTCAAATGAAAGAATATGACTGTATCTCAGAGACCCATCCCTCTTTACCTACAATTAAATAACCGTAATTCAGACAGAGATGGGTTTTTAAGAGGCAGGTTGGCACAGAAGTGAGGACAAAAGGCAAGCAGAGAGGCTGCGGACGAGCCAGGTACCCTTTCCACATGCTTCCACTGTGGGGATGAACAGCAGCTCATTATAAAAGCAGCAAAGCAAGAAACACAGAGTTTAGTCACTTAAGTAAATAGAACAAATGCACGCCTCCCCACAGTCCATTGCTGAGATGGAATAAAATACATAAGTATATATTTGATATATATGATACAATGCAATGAAAGACACCTGAATGGCACTTGAACCCTTCCTGTGCCCTGCCTGCTGCTTTGCAGTGCTGGAGAGCCCTGGGGCGTGCTCGGCAGAACTCAGCCCGTGGGCTATCCCCAAGAAACACGTCCTGGTTTGGGGCACGGAGGGCAACCACCACCAGGGACCGCCCCACCAGTGACGACTCCAGCAGGGCTTACAGTTGCCCAAACAGGCTCAAGGACCAGCTTCTCCTGAGGAGATCCACCACAGTCCGACCATTTCACCCTACACGCCTTCAACGCCTCCCTGTGCCGGCCGGCAGCTCACCGAGACAGCACCGGCCTCAGCAATTTGGCATTGCCTACCTTGTGTGAGTAATGCTGATCCACGATTCTGGCCAGCCCGAAGTCACCGATCTTCAGCACCAGGTCCTCCGTGCTGATGAAAATATTGGCTGGCTTGAGGTCGCGGTGGAGGACGTTGGCTGAGTGGATGTACTTCAGCCCCCGCAGCAGCTGGTACATGAAGAGTTTGGTGTGCTCCTCAGCGAGCTTCCCTTGCTCTAGCAGCCGTGCCAGGTCCGTCTCCATGTACTCCTGGACAATGTACACCATGTTAAACTTGAAAAAATCCCCACGCAGGTTGGTCCCCTTTGGCCCCAAAACCTCGTACACCTTCACGATGTTATCGTGGTCCAGGCGGCGGATGATTTTGATCTCCCGGAAAGCGTGCTTCATGCTCTGTGCATCGCCGATGGTGATCTTCTTCACTGCCACTTTGCGGCAGCTCTTGCTGTCGAGGGCTGACAGCACCAGCCCGTTGGCCCCGAAGCCCAAGGGGCGAAAATTAATGAAGCGACAGCCCAGGTCGTACCCATACATGCTGGCGATACAGTCGCACTTCTCTGCCATCGCGGGCTCTGTCCTCTTTCCGCTTTTTCCTCTTCGTCACTTGAAAAACCGGGAGAGTCGAAGGGCTTCCAGATCACAAACGTGGTTTGAAATCAAGCGCCTCATTATTACTTACAGATGCTTGGGGGGGTCTCGCTCTGAGCCCATCGCTTCAAGATGACATGCAGATGCAGTAAAAAAAGATGCAAGCACACACACAAATAAAACGTTTTAAACTGGGTGAGAAATCAAGGGGTAGAAGAGACTTTCCAAGCAGCGTGGATAAACGCAGCCCAGAGATCTCTAGCAAAACAGAAAGGTTATTTTTTTTGAGACTAAAAGTTCAGTGCTGCTACAGTTTTCAGCCACTTTCTTGTTTTCCTTCTCCGATATCCCCGAGACGATGCTGAAGCGTGGGGCTGGCGGTGCAGCCAGACGCCCGGCCCCGTGTGCCTGGCGTCTCAGTGCCCAGGCAGATGGCTGGCCTTGTCGTGGGGCAGAGCCCAGAGCAGCCCCATGGCCCCTCCGCTGCCCCAAACCCTCTCCACCCACAAGTTTTGACAGCGTTTTCCCCACCAGCGAAGCGCATCCAGGCACTGGCTGGGCTCCCCAGCCATCAGCAAAGCTTCACCCTTCTTGTCGCTCCCTTTTCGGTACGGACAGACCCCATCTTCCCCATTAGCAGATAGAAATCCTGACGTGTTGCAGACCAAAACTCACTTTGTCGGCTGCATTCAGCACAGCAAGTTTCCACGTATGCAGTTCCAACGCTTTCCCCTTGTATGTCTTTCGCTGGTGAAGCCAAGTGCCATCTGATCTTTGCAGCTTGCTGGAGGAGTTCCCTGCGCTGTGCTGCCCAGCTATCCCTCAGCAGGTCTCAGGCCCGCTCCTGGAAGAAAAGAGGAGATGGATTCGTTAGATAACAGCACTGCCTATGCCCTGCCTACGTAATGGCTTGCTGAAGGTTAACCGTGAGCAAAACTGTGACCTTTCGGAGACTCATTAGTTATCTCCTCCAAAAGCACGCATCGTTTTTCAGATGGTTAATTTTTCCTTTTCAATTTGTAATACACAAAAAACTGTAACTCTTCCTTTCCCCTTTACTGTTTTTTTATTGTAATCTGTCTGAAAAAGCCAGAGTGATTTACAGAAGGCAGAGGTTCAATAGCACACTATGTCTCCGACTGCCCATTGAAACCGCATCGCAAGGAAAGCACGGTAGCAGCCCGCGAGGGTATGAACCTCCCTCCCAAGCAGCTGAGAGCAGGTAGGGCCACAGAGTTTTTCAGCTTATAACGACAAAAATTGCTCAGGCAAATGAGGCAGCGTTACTCTGGACAGTTCTGCAAATAGCCTTAAAAACCAGCTGCGAGGGTGGGACACCCCCTGAATTCGGGGTCCCACAGCAAACCTCAGCAGCAGCCTGGGCATGCCGCTGGCTCCGTGCCTGCGGTCGCAGGATGCTGCCAAGCCCTTCTTCCCTGCAGCAAACCACACCATTTTTAGTGCATTTATAAAGAGAGATGCTCTGGCGTCGCTCAGCCTGGAGTGCACAAGCAGCTAACGACAGGGCTCGTTTCTCCTCTAGTGTCCAGAGGAGGAGGAGAGCATCCTCATTAAGATGGACGAGCCGTGTCATTAGCTGCGAGGATTTGCCATCCATCAGCAGCGCCTGCGACCGCAGCTCAGGCGCCCGGCTCTGCCGAGAGCAGCTCAGCACGGGCAGCCGTCCCCCTCCTTCTCCAGCAGCTTTGCTGGTGATGAACGCAGGGCTGGGGATGACCCAGTGGGAAAATAGGAGCTGACTTCATCTCTTCATGTCCTCCATAAGGGTGTGCTCGGCACCCAGACGCCGCAAAAACACTTCCCCGTCTGTCCAAGTTTAGCAGCTACTCTGTTCAGAGGCATGAGCCAGCCTGCAGCCTCCCAGCTTTGCTCTTCTCCTCCAGGAGGTCGTGGTTTCACAGACCCACAAACTCCTCCATGCGAACAAGATACATATACACATCCTAGATATAGGATCCTATGGTGCTCTTTGAAAGTACAGCTGAATACATAAATATATATATATGAATGAGATAACATTTAAGTTGTGGGTTTTTTCACCCCCTATTAATATGAAAAGACTTTATGACACCCTTGGCATTAAGCTGGAACAAATGAACGCGGACCCAACACAAGCAAGGTGAGCAGCAGCAGTGAGTTGTGGCGTCTGAGGAGCATAACCCCATATTTCAAAGCCTCTCTGTGTTTCGACCGTGCTAACATGTGCTCCCCCGAGCGCCACAGGAATCTCTTATTAAGATGCACTGGCTTTTAAAAAAAGCAAAGCAGCAGAGGAACCTGCTGGCACCATGGCAGACCTCTCACGCAACTGCTGGCAACAGCATAACAAGCAAATACCAATGTCTGGTGGGGACGAGGATGCAGATTTAGCCAGCAGATCACAATATCTTGGGGATTTTCCAGACAAAATGTCATTTTCCAGTGGCAGGTGGCCATGCAGAGGTAGCCATGGGCAAGGGACCACCTCTCGCAGATGCTCCAGTTGGGAAAAGTTGGTTCAAAACCCTCAAAGCTCTTCAGGTTTTCCAGATAAACCACTGTGATTTTTCACCTGTGATTACTTCATTTAGAAACAGAATTGAACACAAGGCATGAAGCATTAGGAAATGGCTGGGCTTTTCTTTTTTCCAGATGATCAGCTCATCAAAGCTTTTGTCCTTTTTTGCCCTTTTTTTCTCCCTGCAGATATTTATGAATCTCAGAGGACACACCCTCCTGCCCGACTCTGGCCCCATCCTGCTCCCAAACACCCCCTGACACCTCATTTTGCTGCACCTCCTCTTTGCCACAAGACCCGCATGCAGACCAATGCCCTGTGCCACCCACCGCAGAGACCACCAGGTCCTTCTGAAGCTGGGGAGACCTGCAGGGACCAGCCAGCTGCATGACAAGGGCTGCGACCTTGCACAGGGATGTCCCAAATTACCAACTGGTCCCAGTGCTGCTCAGAGGAGGAAAATAACAGAAAATTACCGTGGATCTGCTCCGTTGTGTTCTTCATGCCAGAATAATGCCTCTGTTACAGCCCTTCATCACCAGGGCTGCTCCATTAACGCGGCAGCGGATTCACAACCTGGTCCTTCGCTCTTGCACCCCCCACACATCGGGCATCGCCCGCGGTACCCTCCTGCTCTCTGGAAGAAGTTACCCAGAGTAACAATAGGGACAATATCAAATGCTGAGCTTTGTTTTGGTTTGCAACCATCACTTATTAAAGGTAGAAGAGAACTGTAATGCTTCGGGCCAGCACGGAGCAGCTATTTGAAGAGGGAACCAGTTAACAGTTAAAATAAAGACATATGGACCATACGATGGTGGGGAGGGATGTAGGCAGGGCAGGGATACCCTCCAAAGAGCATCTGCCAGCAGTAACCAAGCAGTTTGGCAAACACTGCTTGTTCCTGTAGTTGGAAGCAAAAATAATTACAGCCTCTTTTCAATTCAGCAATTATCTAATGCTGGCTTTTTGCACGCAAGGATTGAACAGAGAAAGAGGCTGTTGCTATTAGGAAAAGCAGGGCAATGCACAGCCAGCGAGGTGCCTTGGTCCATAGTCAAAGGGGAAAAAAAGGATGAGAAACGAGGAGTGAAGGAGAAAAGGGTGGTAAATAAATCCTGAGGCTCTGCAAGGGTGGCAGAGAAGAGCAGCCTGTACAGGAAGGTTACCCCTGCGCTGCAAGCCAGCTACATGGCCGTGGAAAGGGAGCAACATGTTGCTTGAACCCCAAGAAGGTGGTTAGGGCACTGAGAACTACCAGAGAGGGTTTAAGGATGGCAACGAGCAACCTGGGGGCTGCAAGAGGTACATCTGGCTGCAGCAAAACTGGAGCTTTTCCACTTGTGGTGACTAATCTGAGTTTCCTAAGCCTCTGCTGAAGACCTCAGCCTCTGCACGGGTCTCCTGGATGCCCAAGGGGGAGAAAAACCCGAGAAAGGTAGAAAGTATTTCCTAGTAGCAAAGGGAACTCTGAAATAGCGCTAGGGTCAATGTGCTTCAACAAGGTGCCATGCTGGGTTTGAGATCCATCTCTGTATCTCATCTCTCTGCCCCACCACCCAGAACCCATTATGTTTCTCAGCTTCTTGGCACTATGAGCCAAACTCCACAGGGCTTGCTGAGATCAGGTAGGGCTGGATGGGATGCGGTGCTAGCCCCCATGCCAAGCTTCTTGGCTTACTCTAGATGCAATGGAAGGAAACCAAGTTTTGCCTTGTCAGCATAATTATTAATAATTAGCACACTTCTAGAAGCACTGAAAGGGAAAATGCAACGCATGAGACTAAAAGGGAAGAAAGAGCCCTATTTTATCTCATGAGCAAAGCGATGGCCTTAGTGCTCCTGGCTACATCTCAGTCCCCAGCTGAGCGATGACCCTTCAGCATCTTCTGCAATTAGAGGCACCAAGGCGGAATCACCCATAAAAGGATGGCCCAGGAGGATGGCAGGCTGAGCTCCTGTCCTCGCTCTCATGGCTGGGTCCTTTTCACTGAACCGTGCAGGGAAAAGCTGCTGGTGAATATGGGGACAGGCACTGTGGCCAAGGGATCAGCAGGCAACACGTTCCCACAGGACTAACCCCTATCTCTGTTTGTCCTACTTATCTCTGCCTCCTCCAACCTAGATGACAGCAAACCCAAAGGGCCAGGCTGACCATCCTTCCCTTAAAGGCTACAGGAGTTATTTTTCCAGTGCTCTCCATTATCCAAATAAGACATCCCTTCTGAGTGGTTATTTTATTAGAAGCACTAAAATCATAGAATCACGGAATCATTAAGGTTGG